GGGGGCTGGGGTGCCCACTCTCGCCCTGCGCTTTTTGCCGCCTTAGCAAGGGTGCCCCGGCACGAGCGTCCACTCCGGAGCCCTTCGCCTCGGTGACTGCATGCCATCTGCTTAGTTTCTGCTGGTTTAAGGGTGGTGGGGGTTTTTGGGCCACAAAGCTGCCACTACTTGCTATGGAGGAAGGAGTCCAAAGTCTGGTTCCTGGCAAATGGTACTCTGGTAGCTGGAGCTTCGGCAGGAACCACTTGCTGGGTCGTTGCTGTGTGTGCAATGGCTGATTTCCTCTAACTACTTTAAAAAGATTACTTGATTAGCTTGAAAAATTAACATGATTATAGTTGAATTTTCTTCTATAAGAGAACAAGCCATATTGTATTGCTAATAATAAGGCAGGATAAAAAACTACACAGTTCTGGGTGGTTTTCTCACATTTTATTCATACTTTGAATCTGTTGCCTCACTGAAAAGCTTCACTGCAAAGATGATGAGGCTTAAGCCATTGCTAGTTACAGTGCATGTGTGGACAAATACAAACTATTTTTCTAGAAACAAAGATAGGTCTTTGTTGTTTTGATGTTGATTACTGGGGCAGGTGGTCTCCACTTGATCTTGATACTGAGCAGTGAGCCCGTGCTCTTCAGTTTCCTGCATGGACAGCTGCTTCTATGCCTCAGTGCACTGCACAACAGAAAGTGAAACCTCTGTGAGCCTCTCTAAGCTGCGGGAGCTTCAGGGTACTCGTCTTCCTCTCCTCCTTTTCTGACTGACATTTCGCTCTCCTCAAAGTAAGGGGAGGCAGAAAATGAGTAAGTCAAACGAGGTGCTGGATTTCTGCATCCGTCACAAGACTGTGTTGAGTTACAGCCTGGTGTCCCTGCTGACAGCTGTGGGCGAGCACATCTTCTCCTCTGTGGTGTTCAAGTGTCCCTGCGATTCTGGGAACATGCTGTATGCCTCCATCTTCCTCATAGTGCCTGCCTTCGTCCTCTTTCTTTTTGGCTACACGGTGAATACCAGGATATGGCTCCTGCTGACAGGCAGCTGCCGCCTGGAGAAGGGTGGCAGCTGCAGCCCCAGGGCAACCTGCAGACGCTACTGCCAGGTGCTGGTGCCGGTGACAGCCAGAGCCTTGGTGGCCCCCCTCACCTGGATCGCGGTGGCCCTGCTCGGAGCCAACGTCTACGAGTGCGCAGCCAGTGGGAACAGCATGATAAAGAACTTGGTGTGTAAAGATAAAGGGGAAAAGTGCCACAATCTGCTGTCCAAAACACCCTGCGACGAGAACTTGAAGACACGGGTTGAATTCCTCAGCCTTCAGGCACAGTCCTAGTTAAAGTCTCTCCGCTCTTCTCTTCACTCTACAGGCTTCTAACCCTGGCTGCTCAATATATGGTGGTGCCTGTTGGGGACTGTAAACAGTCCTTCTCTGCCACGCTATGTAACTACCAAAATTACATGATGAGCAAAAAATAGTTAGCAAAAAACCACTAACAGAAATGCAGTAAGTGTGTATTTGCACTATTTTCTGGTTTTGCACGTTTGCATGGCAATTGTTTGGCACTGCTATTCACAAAACCTCTTTCAAAGCTGGGCAGGGAACCAGCCTAGAGACCAGGACTTTCCACAGCAAGTTTTCTTCTCATTTAATTTAGGCATGGTGCAAGTTCTTTTCGTTTTCCACCTTCACCTCTGTAACTATCTCAAACTTTTGTAAGTCCACATTAGCTGAGGGGCAGCTGAGGTCACGAGTAGAGTGGAAGATGATGTCTCTGCAATAGAGAACTAGCAAGTGAGACAAGGACAGCTTGTTTGACTATGAATCTCAACACTTGAACCTATTAATAATTTCACACATGTATTCTAGAAGAATAGTTATAATATGTATCTGTCTTGTTAAAGTGTTCTTGTGCTGAAGGCAAACTGCATGATCAAACAAATAGCACTTGTGGGTGGATTTCTTTGTTTGGAGTGAAATGAAATCACCAAATTTTGGCAGCATTCCAGTTTTGTTTCTAGATTTGTTTGGTCATCGTCTTAACTCCAGTAGAAAAATGAGGGTTTATCACTTTTTCCCAGTAAAACATTAAGGCTCGTTAATGGAGTTAAGTTTATACGAGATTATAACTACTTGGATTTTTGTAAGTTCCTGTTTAGTACAAATGTTCATTAAAACAAAAAAAAAGTGTTTACATCTGTTAAATATTTAGCATGCTGCTCCTTCAGGAAAAAGACTGAAAAGGGGCAAACTCTGTACCACTGAATTCAGATAGGGTAAGAAAGGAGGAAAATCAAGGAAGACTGACTGTTACTGATATTGAAATTAAATCTAAAAGAAACAAACCAGCCAAACAAAACCAGAAAAAGTGTGGGAGCATTTTTATTACTGGCCATTATTTTTAATATCTGATCTACTTCCAACAAAATTAAGAACCAAAAAGAACAGAAATTCTTTTTTCTTTAGCACTCAATGTTTTTCACTGGAAAAAAAATCAGGCTGAGGTGAAAGGGGATGCTCTGGGATCTCTGCCTGCAGCTTCCAGCTAAGTACCACTGGGCACTAGAGGGACCAGCATCTACTAGGACACTCACTTTAGGTGGGGTGTCCGAGACTTACCTAGGGATGTCAAAATCATGTATAAAACAAGAATGAATTCCCATATTCAATAGTCAAATCCGTGTCCTGCGTACAAAACATACAGGACATGACTTTTCCTGTGTGCTGTGGCAACCGGGTATTTTTTGCAGGCTCAGACATGAGGGACAGGAGGTACTTTCCAAGAACAGATAAAACACAGTCAGCAGGAGGTCTAATTCACAGCACCAGAAGTGGACAGGGTGACTCTGCACCATCTGTACCGTAAATCTGACCACAACTGCAGAAACTGCTGGTCAGTATCTTGCCTTTAAAGTTAAGAAAGCTGGATATAATTTGGAACGAACTTCACTCCACCTTCTCTGTTTTTTGGTATTCTTCCTCAATCCAACAAGATAGCTCAGGGGTGCAGAAGCTCTGTAAGGCTGGCTGAATTGTGTGCATGGGATCCTCTCTTTCCACAGCAAGCAGACTGTTACAGGCGCTGCAGGGTGTCTTTGCATACAGTTTTCATGTCTGCTTCAATGTTACGTTCTATACCCCTACATATGACCATACAAAACCACCGTTAACCCATCTATCTATTTTCCAAGCTGATAGGATTGTTCCTGATAGCCGGCATCACGACTGTGGCACTGGTTTCAACATGTGTCAGTCACTGTTGGTCCCCGTTTAGCTATCTTCAGTTCAAGTTCCAGAAAATTTACTCGAAAACCGAACGTGAACTCTTTGAGATCAAGGCTAAAGAGCATGCAACCAGGCTGGCAGAAAGAAATCTTGGCTGCTTTTTTAAAGCCACTGACCCAGCACCGTTTCAGACTCCCAGCAACAAAGACTGGCAGATGATTTCATTGTTGTATGCCTCCAGTTCAGAAGAGCAGTATTACAGCACGCTACACAAGTACATTAACACAAAGAGAGGCAACGCTGTCGGAATCAGGGAAGAAGATCAGAATCCCTCTGTTTTAGGACTTGTGGATGAAATAAGTGCAAGTGAATCAGGGTTATAATGAAACAAATCCTTTGCAACGCTGGCAGTCTTTTAACCCTACTGGTATAAGAAGAGTCTTATTCTGTGCTCTTATTGAAATCTATGCAAATCGTTTGTAAAAGCTGATAGTTATAACCCTCAGCAGATTTGTTTTTAAATACACTTTATTACTTTTGCTTAAGTGCATTTAAATAAATACATCTGTCACAATGGGAGTTTTCATATGTTGTTGTTCATTAAGAAGAGTCACATGTGTAAAATAATAAGCATCCACAAAGATGTCAGCATGTACTATGACAAATTATTACCTAACACCTTCAGGGCATTTGGCAACTGGAGTGACAATAATAAACCTTTGTACCTGGCAGTATCAAAGAAGCAAAAAAGGAATGGCAGTTTCGTTCAGAAATTCAGATTAGCTTATTAGCTTTCACTTGACAGTATATCTTTCAGTGTGTCCTGGTTTCGGCTGGG